CAGGAAGCGCCTGAGGCCGGGATCCCACGCGCTGGCGGGGAAGAAGCTGGATGGGCGCGAAGCCTGAGGGGGGAGTGGGTCGGGGCACTGACTGCTCTGTGCGGTCCTCCGACTCCCCAACTGGCAACAAAGGCCGAGGGGACCCTTCCTATGCCCATTGTAGGTAGCAGGGTTTGAATGGCAAGGTGTGTGTGGGGGGAGCGGGGGCTGCACAAAAGTCTCTCTCAGTAGGCGGGCAGTGTCTAGGGGTGGGACAGCGACCAGTCCCCCAAAGCCTGAAGAAGAGAAGCAAGTGGGCATTCAGTCACTGGCTATGAGCACGTGTTGTGTGTGTGTGTGTGTGTGTGTGTGTGTGTGTGTGTGATGTCAATGTGCCACACGGGAGTGGCACAGCTTCTTACCCCAGCCCACCTCCAGTCCCTGCCAGGGTGGTCAGTCCAGTCTGCCCGCTCCTGTGTGGCACAGCACTTCCCACTTTATAAAAGTCAACTGCAACATGGTATGGATACTGCTTGCTCCCAAGACGAATCATTATCAACTTTCATGTGCAATATCACCACCAGGGGCACACAGACTTGGGAGAACAGGCAAGTGCCCTATCAGACCTGGCCACCCAACTGGAGCGAGCTCAGAATTGCCAGCAGGAAGCTTTCAAGGAAGCCGTTAGAGGGTTCTCTGGCCTTGGTTGGCGTGAGACCCAGTGCGTGAACCACAAGACCTGGAGCCTGTCCTGAAGGTCAGGTCTCTCTGCCCCCTCCCAGTGAGTCTTCTGGCCTGGCTCAAGAAGGAGGGTGGAGCCATCTCCAGAGCTTCAGCCACGCCACGGGGTGTTTTCCCCAGCTTCCAGAGTGAGGTTTGGTACCCCTGCAGGGTTCCTCATGGCTGATAGCAAGAGGGACTGACCAGGTGAGGATGGGCTCACCTCAGGGATGAGTAATTCCAACAAAGCCCCTCAATATCTCCCTCCAGAAGGAGTGTGTCAAAGGGCTCCTTAAACCTGGACCCGGCTTTGGGTCACTTCATTCAGCCCTGCAGGCTCTTTTGGGCCTCAATCAGGGCACCAAGCCCCTCACGGAGCCAGAGTCTCCTGGGACGCTGGCAGCTGCAGGGCATAGCTGACTCCTCATCCTGGGAGTCCGAACCCACTTGATGGCAGTCTTGGTTTTTCTTCTTCGTCAATGTCTCCAGAATGAATGGATGTGGCGTGGCGCTGGATCCTATCACCTGCCTCCTGCCCTGGGAGCAATGGCTCTCTGAATAAGGCAGAGTCACTGAAGGATGTCACACATGGGTTTTGTCTTTGCTAGTTATGCAGCCATCAGTGGGGAGCCTGTGGGCCTAGGGGAAACTGGGAGGAGGGGTGACTCCCTGGAGCCCTGCTGTTGCTGGCAGTACTCCACCTCTTCTTGGTCTTGTGTGTGTGTGAGAGAGAGAGGGAGGGAGAGAGCACGTGTCAGGGTAGATGAGCACATGTGGGGTGTGTGTGTGTGTGTGTGTGTGTGTGCGCGCGCTCACACCCTTGTACCAAGGGAGATGACAAAGCACCGTGCGCACAGTGGTGCTCAAGGGCACGTGCGTCTGCATTCAGTGTGCACCCAGGCATGCCTGCCCGCACGTGTGTGGATGCTGTGGCTGGTCCCTGGAGCCGCTGGTCCTCCCCGCCTCTCTTCCTGCCTGACAGCATTGTGGAGGCTGAATCTGGGGGAGCACCATCAGGACATGAGAACACAACATGGAAGGGGTGCATTGAGCCTGGGAGGGGTGTTGGGGGGGGGCGGGGCAGGGGCTGTAATGACCCTGCATAGCGGGTTGCTCCCAGTACCCCCACCCAGGGCAGCCCTTCACCAGTGTGTAAGAGTCGCCAGGTCTTTGCCTTCTAAGTGGGCACGCTAAAGAACCAGGGGGTTGTAGCTGGGGGCATGATTTCTCCCATCAGCCCCCAAACAGGAAGGCGCATGAAGGGCAGGGCTGACTCCAAGGTTTTGGTGTTAACCTCTAGCTTCCCTCTTCACAGGGGACAGGGTGTAGTAGTACCCACAGAATGCTGTCCTCTAAGCTCTTCCAAGCCCTGCACTGGGCCAACCTAGAGCTGCGTTACTACCACTCCTTCAGAGCCAGCCGGGGCAGGATTTGGGATGAGACAGCAGCAGATAAGACTTGACATTGGCCTTTCCCCGGCACCTCTGTGAGGATTCTCCTGCAGAGGCCTGTGCCTGGCCATCACCCTGCAGACAAGGTCTACCTGAAGGGACTCAATGTTGACAAGTCTGACTCTGAGCACAGCAAGGTGATCGATTGGGGGCCCCCAAACTGGGATGAGCCTCTATGTCCATTCTGGGCAGAACACAGGCTCACTCTTCCACTCAGATTGTGCCCTCCACCCCATCCCATAACAGGACACCAAAGACCAACACTCACCCCCATGCCCTTATACTCTGGCCGGCCAACAGGAGCCCCTGCCAACCCGGCACAGAACTCCAGCCAAGATTCAGATGCTAGGAGGCACCTGCATCGCCAGGCCAGCTCTCCAAGAAGCCCAGGGACTCTTGCTGGGGCACACACTAGGGGCCCAGTCATCTTAGGAATGATGTGGTTGTTGGTCACGAGGCTCACCTCAACCCTAAGATGGCGCAGGCAAGCACTTTTCCCTCCAGAGCTTGGGGAGTGGGCTCCTCCCCGCTCCTCCCCCCACCTCAGCCCTCTCATGACTCACTCTAGGCTGTGTGGGTTATTACATTATGTTTGAAGTTGCCATGGCAACCAGCTGGCAATCAAGGGTAATTGCACTTGTCACCAGGGCAACGGGGCAAAACCCCGCACCAGCCACTCTCTGTGGTTGCCCTTGGGGTACAGTAAAGGTCAGGCCAGACCTGAGCCCATGCCAGCTGAAGGGCTTGAGGGCTCTCTGGAAAGGATGAGATGGCCAGGGCCCACAGAGTTTGCCTGGCAGAGGCAGGCTATGCCTTGGGAAGACCAGGGCCCCACACACCTACAACCCAACACCTGGAACCCTAGTCTTCCTGTACCATCTGTGCCTGAAACATGCTCCAGTGCCCAAAGGAAGCCGAGCCAGAACTTTTATATGCTCACAGGTGATACTTATAGACGGCCCACGGGCCTTCCTCCTCGTACTCACGACGGCTGAGCCACAGGCTCTGGAAGGAGTCCCGGGATGCCAGCATGGAGCCCCCAAGCCAGGCAGCAAGGGCACGGTGGGGAGAGGCCAGCACAGTGGCCCTGGGGCCCAGCTCCTGTCTCAGGCGCTCGGGGAAACCCCTCAGCAGGGTGCTGCCCCCATCCAGCACCACGTTGGCCAGTAACTGCTCTTGTTGCTTGGCCTCCAGCTGGCTGATGCTCAGGAGGGCCAGCTGGGGGAGGCCCGGCTGGCTGAGTCCTAGCAGGCTGGGCTGGAAGAGGGCCTCGGGGCAGCGGAAGCGCTCAGAGCCCAGTGTGATGATCCGCTGGTCAGGGAGAACAAAGTCCACCCCAGCCTGAGCCTGGGGGCCGGTCATCTCAGCTGCCACGTCCATGGCCACGTAGCAGCTGACCTCCTTCATCTGGTTGAGCAGCCCCGTCTTGGGCGAAGCGTGACCAACTGCCAGTAGCAGCTGAGCAAAGTACTCAGTGAGGTCATAACCTGCCATGTCCAGCCGGTAGGTGTCCAGAGGGGCCATGTTCCCCGTGAGGATGGGTGTCACGTAGGAGGTGCCGTAGCCACTGCCCAGCACCAGCCCGGTGGTGCGCCCATAAGCATAGAGCGCCAGCAGGGCCTGACACACAGTCTGCATGGCGGGCACGTGGAAACGCTCAAAGAGGATCTCGGCGACCTTCTCCCGGTTGGTGCGAGGGGACACAGGCGAGTCTGCCACAAGCACAGCCAGCTCCTCAGGCTGCACGCCCAGCCGGCAGTAGAAGAGGTGCTGCCACAAGACCTCCAGGGCATCCCAGTCGGAAACCACGCCTCGGTTCAGCACGGGGTAGGAGCCCTCTTGGTCTTCGGAGACCACGTATCTGGGCTGGCTCTGGCCTGGTTGCTGGAGCCGCTGAACGCGGGAGGGCACTAGGCTGAGGACGTGGTCCTCCCCAGCCAGCCCGCATTTGGTGAAACCGGTGCCTGTGTCTATCACCACGGCCGCCGTGTCCTGGTAGGTGCCCGGGGAGTGGCGGCAGATCCCTGGGGATGGCGATGGCAGGGCATCTCCGGTGGACACCAGCTCACTGCATGTTCCGTTGACCAGGCCAAGGCGAGCAGCCACCGCTGAGCGCGTGATGCCATCAGCTATCATCTTGAGCCGGGCATTCTGGGAGTTGGTGCCCACCATGGCCATGGGCATGATGTTGTAGCCTGTGCCAGGCGTGCTGAAGGTGATCAGGGAAAGGTGTTCCTCCTGGCCTCTGGGGGAGCTGCCAGGCTGCCATGCGAGTCGGGGCATGTTGGAGACTTGAGTGGCCCCGGCACTGACCCCTCTGCTCACATAGAAACAGGCCTCCTCGGGGGCCAGGGGCGCCCGAAGTACCCCCACAGGAGCAGGCAGGCTCAAGGACTCACCTTCCTGACACAGGCTGGAGGCCTGTCCAGGCTCTTTGGTTATAAGGAGCCCTTTTGAGGGAGTGGGCTCCTCAGTGTCTTGGGGCCCTCTGGAAAGGGGGGGCTGCCCCTTGGGATTCCCCTGCTGAGTGAGAAGCAGCTGCCCAGTGATGGGGAGCTGCCCAGGAAGGGGAGGCTGCTTGGCGGCGAGGGGCTGCGTTGGTGTGGTGTGGAAGAAGAGCTGACCAGGGGGCTGCTCGGTGGAGGGGGGCTGCTCGATGAGAGGGGCCTGACCAGCAGGGAGGGTCTTCTGGACCAGAGGTGGCTGTTCAGCTAAGGGGAACTGACCAGTGAGGGGGTCCTTCACAGCACCTTCAGTGGGAGGATCATTGGGGTGCACGATAATGACATCCTCCTGAGACAGGGTCGGGGACAGCGCCCGTGAATTGGCTGGAGTTGGCGGCTGTGGAGTCTGCTCTGAGTTCATCCACTGCAGTTTCTTGGTCTGGACCGTGGAGGCCTCTGGCATCCTGGAGGTATTGAGCACCCAGATGGTGTGACTGGTTTCATGTTTGTCTGCATCGGATTTGGGCCAGTCAGGACTGGGGACATGGGTCAGTACCCTCTCGTCAAACTGCATCGGCATCCCCAGTGGGATGGGCCCAGAGATCATTCCAAGACGGATGGGAGTCACGGTCCCAGGGGAGTTCTGTAATTCTATGTTGAGCTTGGCCTCCTTGGGAAGTAGGGCCACCTCTCGGTAGCTGCCAGACGAGAGACTGGAAGGCACAGGGCTGGACAGCACAGGTGTGGTGGACCAGAAGCCCAGGCGGCTGCTGTCAGGGGAGTGGGTGGGCATGACAAAAGACCGCATATTCTCCGGGACACAGATGGATGGGTGGTTGGGCCGGACGCCCACTAACACGGCCCGTGAGACCAGGGGATCATGGCACAACAGCCCCATCCTGCTGTTTCCTGTGGCCATGTCAAACACCAACACACGGTTTTCTAAACCTTCCTGGAGCTGACAGGTGGGAGCATTGGAGGTGGGGATCTGTAGGGCTTCCCTGGGAGCCTGGATGGGGGGTTCTCTGTGGCAGGCTGCTTGGTGGGCAGACGGCGGCACTGTGGCATTGGTATTGTTGCAAACATTTAGGGGCTGCTGATCTGGCTGAGAGTTAGATCCCTCCTGGGGTCTCGGGGCTCGTGGGGATTCTGGGCCCAGAGTTGAGTTGCATGGTCCCACCAGGGGCTTCTCCAGCAGGCTGTCAGTTTGCTCAGGTAGTACCTGCTTTTCGGTAGCCTTGTGCTTCTGGGCATGGTCTGGGGTCCTTATGGGAAGGGGGTTGGGGCTGGGAGACTCCTCCTGAGGCTGGAAGCCCACTTTGTCCTGGAAGGATACCCCCACTTTAGAAGGCTCCAAGCGGGCTGTCCACTGGTTGTCACACTTTTGGAGCTTGGGGTTTTGGGACTGATTCTTGGTGACAGCAACGGTGTCTATTGGGTGGTCAAAAGTGCAGAGGTGAGGGTCAGCCATCCCGGACACCGGGGCCATGTCCAGAGCTGCAGGTGGAGGAGGCAGCGACATAGAAGCAGTGGTCGTTTGAGCTGGACGTGGGCACTGGCCTTGGCTTTGACCTTGGGCTGGAGCCTGGCCAGAGGCCTGAGCTAGAGTAAGAAGAGGATCCTGCCCTATAGTTGCCCCATCTTCCCCTGAGGGGAAGTAGGGGAGCCACCGGCTCTTCCTTGTGCCCACTGGGGCCTTCTGGTCAGCCATAAGGGGGCCTTTGCCCCAGCCCACCAGGACTTTGGATGGGGCCCTGCCCTCCCGGCGAACCTGGAAGTGGAGAAATGGAGAGCAGCAGGGTCCGGGCTGGGTCATGTCACCTACGTGGCTGCAGTCGTTGCGTGTGCACACGGGGAGAGCCAGGGACCCGTCTTCCATGATGAGATGTGGCAGGGGTCTCTCGATGGGTCTTGGTGGGCCATGGGGGATGAATCTTGGGGCATCCTGGGATGCCTGCTCTAGGCCCCACGGAAAGTTAACGTGGGGAAGGTCCTGGTGATTGGGCTCGGGGATGTGAGCCTGAGGGACTCGGCCGCAGTCCCCTTCGATAATGCCCAGTGGGGAAAATGACAGCCCGTGCCTGAAGTACAGGGATCCTGAGTTCATCCATGGCCCCTGAGATCCTCCAAGGTCGCCCCCCAGCTGGTGGTTTCCAGCTGAGGGAGGGCCTTGGGGGCCCGATGGATCAGGGCCCTCCACCTTCTCGGTGGTTTCCATAGTCCTGCTCCATGTCCTCAGAGCCCTGCCCCCACCTTGTTGCCACGGCAACCACACACATCACAACCCCCAGTGACCTGGGTGATAACAGAGTGCAGGGGGGAAACCAAGGGGCCCCACCCTGGAGGAATGGTGGCCTGCCTCCTGGGCCAGCCTTTCGCTGCCAGGGCAGGCACTTCTCCGCTCAGTAGCCAGGAAGTCACTCTTTCCTCCCCAAAGGGAGGAAAGACATGGAGTGTAAGGTCAGAGGGGAAAGGTCAGCAGGGGGGACTCTGAGGAAGTCCCTGGGTCCCTGGCCCACCGAAGATGCCAAGCTTGACTCCTCCTTTTGGGTGGCCACCCGAGAAGCCAGCCTTTACCCCGGAGTACAGTTCTGTGTGTGTGCTCAGAAGACTTCTGGGGGGCCAAGGCCCCTTCCTCCCTTTTTCCTGGGAGACAGAAGGCAATGGGGGGCTCAGGCTCCAGCCCAAGTTCCCTTCCCCCGCATCCCCCAGCTTCCGCTCCAGGGACAGCAGCTCCTTGGCAGTCTGCTGCTCCAGATGGCTCTGTTCTGCCTGTGCTTCATAGAGCCCCTCCCTCCCCAGAGCCACAAGTCCCTGAAGCCCAGGACCAATAATCCTGCAGGGGTGGAGGTGGGGGTGGCGAGGGCAGGGGTGGAGTTTCTGCTCAGAATTCTCAGGTCAGAATGTTCTAGTTCTTGTCATGTTCTGTCAGCTTCACCTGAGTCAGATGGGGGTGGAGGTGGGTGGGCGGGGGAAGGGCAAAGGGCACTGGGCACAGAGCTAGGCAACAGGGACCACAGAGTCAAGTAAGTGGCACACAGTAGGGATACAGTGAGCACAGGGCTGGCCACACAGTGGGCATGTAACTGGGCACATAGTAGGGACGTGTTAGGCACAGGAGGGGCCACAGATAGGGTGGATATGGAGGCATAAGAGTAGGCATACAATGGGGACATGGGAGGCTCACAAGGACAATGGCTGTTTATACAGTGCCCGCATGGCAGGCACCAGGACAGGTACAACTCGCTGCTGCCATCCAGTCAACGCTGACTCAGTGACCGTTTAGTCTGGGTTTCTGAGACTGTCACTATTGACAGGAGAAGCCCCATCTTTCTCTTACGGATCAGCTGGTGGTTTCGAACTGCTGACCTTCCAGTTCGCAGCCCTACCTGTGAACACCATGCCACCAGAACTCCTATCGGAGTAGGTACAGTGAGGACAAGTCAATACGGGACTGGACAGAGGACATGTACGGTAACAGACTTAGGTGACCAGTTCCAGCCTCCATTTCTTAGATATGAAAACAGAGAGACAGGGAGGGCGGGGCTTGTCAGAGCCGCCAGCCCAGGTCCAGGCTGAGGCAGCCCCTTAAGGAAGCCTGCCCCTGTGGCAGACTGGTGCTGGGAGGGTCTGGCTGGGGGTGGGATCTGCCAGTTCTCAGCTCTGGCTCAAGGCTATTTCCTCTCAGGTTGGTGAAGGGTGCGGGCTTGTTCCCCAAAGCAGTGTGCTTTCATAGAGGCTAAAAATAGTGCTTCCAGGTGTATCCGAGGGGAGACCCAAATCCCATTGGTAGACGATTAGACATCCCCTCACAGAAGTGCCATGAGCCAGTCAAGGTGCAGTATAGCACCGACGAAACACACAACATTCCTCTAATTCTTTTTTTTTAGGTTTCTATTTTCATTCTTTTCTTTTTTTAAAAAATCATTTTATTAGGGGCTCATACGACTCTTATCACCATCCATACATACATCAATTGTGTAAAGCGCATTTGTACATTCATTGCCCTCATCATTCTCAAAACATCTGCTGTCCACTTAAGCCCCCGGCATCAGGTCCTTTCCTCTAGTTCTTTAATGCTTCCCCCACCCCCCACCCCCACTATCATGACCCAAGTTCTACCTTACAAATCCGGCTAGACCAGAGCATGTACACTGGTATAGATAAGAGCTCTCAACACACAAATCCAGGGCAGCTAAACCCCTCAGGACCTATAATGAGAGTAGCAATACCAGGAGGGTAAGGGGGAGAAAGAGGGGACAGATAGCAGTGATCAATGTACAACACCCCCACCCCCCTGGGGAAGAACAGCAGAAGCGTGGGTGAAGGGAGACAGAGGATGGTGTAAAATATGAAAATAAAAATAATTGATAAATTATCAAGGGTTCACCAGGGTGGGGGAGGGAGGGGGAAGAGCTGGTACCAAGGGTTCAAGTACAAAGAAAATATCTTGGAAATGATGATGGCAACATATGTACAAATGTGCTTGATACAATAGATGTATGGATTGTTTATAAGCGCTGTAAGTGCCCCCAATAAAATGATTCTTTTTAAAAAAATAGTGCTTCCTGTTGGCCGTGGGGTGCAAGAGGACGAGGCAGAGGAGCCAGGCGAGCAGTGTGCCGCCCTGTACCTCCCTGAGTGGACACTGGGCAGAGCCTGACTCAGCCGTGCCTGCAGCCCCAGGCCTCTCCCTTCTCCTACATCCTGTGTTTGGTGGAGAATGGGGATGTGGCTCTGGACACAAAGGAGGAGATGCTCACCCTCATGATGGGGCCCAAGGAAACAGGGCCGTAGGGTCTGTGGCCTGAATGTGCACTCTCCCTCCTGATGCTCAGCTGCAGCGCTCAGCATGGTGCAGCTCATCGGGCTTTGTCCCTTGGCAAGCTCTTTGTCCACCGCAGAGAGGCCAATAGCACTGGGGCCACGCTGCACCTGAGAAGGCTTGGAAGGAGGCCCTGAGAGCCCCAGCCTGGCCTTGGCGGTGTCCCTCACTGACTGCAGAAGTGGTCTAGAACCCTCCCTCCCAGACCAGCAGAGCCCTTATTTACAACCGCCTGCAGGTTCCAAAGTGAAAGGAGTGGCGCAGTGGTTCTCATCCTGCCTCATGCCACGACCCTTTCAGACAGCGCCTCGTGTGGTGGTGACCCCCCAACCATAACATTCTTTTCGTTACTACCTCATCACTGCCATTTTGCTACTGTTATGAATCGGGCGACCCCTGTGAAAGGGCCGTTCGACCCCAAAAGGGGCTGCAACCCCCAGGTTGAGAACTGCTGGAGCAGAGGGTCTAAGGGGTCTGTCCCACAAAAGAAGGCCCTGAGGGGGCACCCAGGAGAAAGGAGTCAGCTCTTCCCGCTAGGGGACCAGTCACCCTTTATACCATTCAAAATAGTGACTGATATGCATTGGATCCTCCCTCTGAGCCAGGGCAGTGCAATTCAATTCTCTAGGTCCCTCATTCGGTTTACAGATAAGGAAATGGAGGCGTAGGAAAGTATCATGGATTAAATTGTGTGTGTCCCCCCCCACCCCCCGCCATACCTCCCTCCCTCCCCAAAAAACATCAACTTGTCTGGGCCACAATGCTCCATGGTTTGGCAGTTAAATAATGATCTAATCATACTCCATGATACGATCTCATGAGAGCAGCAGATTGGTTTCAAGGGGATTAGAAGGAAACACAGCAAAGTGATTTCTCCCCGAGGGTGGCCTGCGTCCCCAGGAGGGAGAAGAGAGCAGAGGAGGGACCTAACACTACCCAGAAGAGGTGGGCGTGCAGCATGTTCTTTGGACCAAGGGTCCTCACGCCCAGAACCTGCCACACCGCGGGGAAGGTGAATGTCAAGGCCCGCAGAGGTCTCCAAGCAACTTGGGACGCACGGATTCTGAAAGGAGACAAGGAGCCTGTTCTTAAATGGTGAGCTGACAGAGAGAGCTGTCCCCTAGAGCTGGTGCCAAAAAAAATTCTAGCTGCCTAAGCCACCCAGAGAAGGCGTGTGTTTGCTCAAGCCGTCCACTTGCATTTCTGTGACGGCAGCCCTGGAGCCAGAGACGGAAAGGGGGAGAGAGCTCCGCTAGTGCGTGATGGCGCCAGACTCGGAAGCGGGGGTCTCCAGGCTCTAGATCGACATTTGTAGATCCAGCGGTGCCAGGTGAGGACCCTGACCCTGCGCAGGGGAGCCTGCCTGGGGTCCCCTTTCACACGGGGTCAACGCCAGCCCCAGACTCAAGCTTGTGTCTTGCACAGGCGTGCTTCGCCTCCCGAGCATTTAGCAGTGGCTGCAGCCCTGGAAGGGGCATCTCCCCTATTGCCATCCCTGAGCTGGTGGTGTTGAATGCCAGCCAGCGACACACCCTACACCCGCTGGGTCTGGGCGGTCTCTTCGGCTCAAAACTCTCAGCTGGCCTAGAGCCCACTCTAAGCCCTCCCATTCAAGGGAGGGACTCTTTTCCCAGCCCCCAGAGATCGGCAGGGATAACATTCCTGGCCCTCCCCCACCCCCACCCGTATTTTTAAATAGTCTTTCACCAGGAAGAAGGGCATTCAATTCTATTTCCGATTCTGGGAAATGAGGAGGGCCAATGTTCCCATGACAACCTGGAGAGCCCCCCACCCCCCTTTCATTGAGCCCATTCCCCAGTCTGAAGGCTGTCAGTGGCGGAAACAGCCAGGAGGAGTGTAGTCTGAGGATAA